CCTCAGGTGATCTGCCCACCTTGGCCTCCCAAAGTACTGGGATTACAGGTGTGAGCCACCACGCCGGCCTGGACATCCTTTTTGTTCATCAGCAGAAATAAGGGTGCTGTGGGTGCAGCTCATCTCCTTGGCTAACCCTGGCAGCAGCTGTCTATCTCGCACTCTCCCCACCACACTTCCCTCTGTGCTGCCAGCAGCAGAAGGAGCACCCTGTGATGCAGATACCTCCTTTGTTTGCCAACTTCAGTAGTTTCCCATCAGCTACAAGATCAAGATCAAGCTCCTCTCATCTGGCCCTGCCCACTCTGCCTCTACACTACCCTATAGTAGCATCCAGTTCCTTGCTGTTCCCCAAACTTCTCAGGGCTGTTTGGAGCCTTCAGCCTGTACAAGAGCTGTGCCCATCTCCTGGAATACAACCTTTGACCACTTCAAATAATGACCATTTTTCTAGTTAACATTTACTGAGCACTCAACTCTGCTGCGTGTGTGCCAACCCTTCACATGCACCACCTCACTAATTCTCACAGTCCTGGAAGGGGTGGACCAGGGTCACACATGGCCTTGGGAACATCACACAGATCAAGGGCTGGGCACAAGGTCACATCGCCTGAACACACATTCATGTGATGTGAGAATGTAACTCTTGGCCTCCCCGTGACACTTTCTTCTCTGGATTTTCATTCCACCTTGCAGAGAGCACTCTGACTTACTGTAGTCTTCTGTGTGTGCATCTCCCCTCTCTACTGTGAGCCCCTCAAGAGCAGGACCCATGCCTTTCCCATCCCTGTCCCAAAAGCTAACCAGGAACAGAAACATGTAGCAGATTGTTGACTGAAGAAGGTGCTGCATCCATGGTCATCCCTCATATCCTTTATAAATTTCTTACATATTTTATTTCTTTGTGGGAATTGCATCTTGAAGCTTTGTTTATAGCCATCTGTGTGGGTCCCTTAGGCTATGTGGCTGACTTTAATGCCACAGATATTTTTTTCATTTCTGGCATGTAGCAGCGCTAGGCTTAGCATTTTAGAGATTATTAAAGAGAAGGCACGGCCCCTGCCCTCCAATTGCAGAGATGAGACCATATGGGACACAGCCATTAAAAACAATACATTTCAGTATTTGCATGGAGAGTTTGATTATATAGCAGATGCACATTCTTTGGACTGACATACAAGGCCCTGCAAGATCTGAATCTAGGCCACTTTCTCAGTTTCATCTGCTCCTCTCCCATGGACCCCCCACACCGCAGCCATACCAAGGTGCGTGTAGTCCTTGCAGCCCACCGTGCTTCCAGTGCCACCATCTCTTTGTAGGTGCTGTTCCTTTTGCCTAGAATGCCTGTTTTCTTCCTATCTACCTGGCAGCTTCTTACTCATCTTTTAGAACACCATCTAGTGCCAGTTCTTTCCTTTTTTTTTTTTTTTTTCATGGCCTTTCCACATTTTTCTATAGTGTGACCCTTATCACATAAGTCGATTTTGTAAGTTTGCTCTGCCTGTTAGCTGTTAAGCTACTTGAGGTCAGAACCTGTGTCTCAGTGATGGAAAAATGAATGACAAAATAGAAATTGGATAAATGGAAAGGAAAGAGTGATGAGCTAACATGGCTGGGGGTCAGTCAGGAATCACTTTAAATGGCCAGAATAGAGAGCTGTATAAAGTGACTTAAAGGCATTAGCGGCTCATTCGCATGTGAAATAAGCTTGGAAGTGGATGGTTAAGTGTTGGTGTGGGTGCCACAATGTCATCAGGAGCCCGGGCTCTGCCACACAGCGTGACCACCTTTAATGCGAGGCTTCCCTCTTCAGGGTAACTTCATGGCTCAAAATGGTTGCTGGAGCTGCAGCCATCTTATCCATTCCAGGCAAGAAGGACTAGAGAGGTCAGTGGGTAAAGAAAAAATGTACTTTCCCTGAAGGCAGCCTCCTTCAAACAGATTTCTCAGGGTCCTTTACCCAGGAGCTTCATCTTCATCTCAGGCCAGGATGTAGTCACATGGTCACCTCTGAAGTCACATGGCTGAGTTCTGAAGAGAGATGTAAATATACGGTAATAAACATAGGTTATCTCCACATTTAATTTAAAATGACATTGCTTTTTAAAACAGATTTTAGATCTAAATACACATTTCTCAAAAAAAGATATAAAATGGCCAATAAGGGTATGAAAAGATGCTCAATATCATTAATCATTAGGGAAATACAAATCAGAACAATAAGACATAATTTCCCATCTACTAGGATAGCACTAGAGTCAGAAAGACATAATAACAAGTGCTGGCAAAGAGAGAAATTGTAACTCTCATAACACCACTGGTGGGACTGTGAAATGATACAGCACTCTGGAAGGCCCTCACAAAGTTAAACACTGAGTTACCATATAACCTAGCAATCTCACTTCAGGTATACACACACAAGAGAATAAAAACATACCCCCCACACAAAAGCTTATATATGCATATTCACAGCAGCACTATTCATAATAGCCAAAAAATAAAAATAACCAAAAAGTCCTCCATTAACAAACAAATGGATCAAGAAGTTGTGGTATATCCATACAGTGGAATATGATTCTGCCATAAAAAGGAATGAAGTACTGATACATGCTATAACATGGATGAATTTCAAAAACATTACAGCAAGTGAAAGAAGCCAGTCACAAGAAACACATAGTTGATGATCCTGTTTTTATGTAATGTCCAGAACAGGCAAATCCATAGAGACAGAAACTAGATGAATGGTTGCCTGAGGGTGAGGGGAAACAAGGAGTGACTGATGGTGGGTTTTGTGTGGGGGCAATAAAATGTTCTAAAATTAGATACTAATGGTTGCATAACTCTGAATATACTAAAAACCATTGTACACACATTAAAAAGTGTGGATTGTATGTGAATTATATCTCAATAAAGCTGTTCAGGAATTCAGCTTTTATCTCTAAAGCATATCTTCAAAATTAAACTCAAAAAGTGAACTGGGGGCAGGGGAGACAAGTTTCCCAAACCAGTTAATATTCAAGACTTGTATTAGTTATCTCCTTCTTCTCATTTGAGTCCTGACTTTAAAAGAAAAAAATCTGCCCTTCACAGTCAGGGTCAGATCCCTCTGGCTGATCGCCCAGATGACTGGGATCTGAGTGGTTTCTTTGTCCTATGGACTTATCATTTCAAAAACAAAGCTCTTTTTCCCAGTCTGCAAAGCTGAGGAAGAGAGATGCTAGGGGGTCAACGAATAGTTGTAGGAAGCCACTTTATCTGCAGACCAGCAGGATGGTAGAAGGGTTTGCTCTACGAGGCTCATGTTCCTTGAAGATTTTGTTACTGATAGATGGGCAGAGGCAGGTCAGAGGTCATGGTGTTTGGAAAGTAGCGTAGTGTTTGGAAAGGCCTCAGTGCCAGAAGTCTGCATATGGGTGACTCCCAACCAAGAGCTCTGATTCCTCAGCAGAACAAGAAAGATGATAGCCTTCTCACCACTGGGTGGGCACACGTGCTCATGGCCATGAGCCTGCCCCATAAACACTGAATGTGGGCACCAAGCAGGCTGTCCTGGAATGGCAAACTTGGGGTGGCTCCAGTGGGGACAGTTTGAAAAGGGAAAGGGAGCATTGTCTAGTGGAAAAGAAGACATAGGTGTGTTGGTTGGAGTGGTTGTCAGGATAAAAGGTGGTTGAAGAGATAGTTGGATGGCTGCAGTCATTGACAAGTGTGGTCAGAAGCCTTGAGCCAGCAGCTCTTCTTGGTGAGTGGGCTGGTTAGAGCTGTTGGAGTTGGACAACAGGAACAGCCTGCTGCATCAAGATGCTGATGATGGCCATCAGCAGAGAGGACAGGCCCACCCGCCCGGCTCTAAGTCTCCCTCAGGTTGACCTTTGCTATGTGCTCTGGATTTTTGAGTCTTTCACGAAGGCTCACGCAGTCACAAAGTCCCTCGGGAATTACAAGAAACAAATTGTTTTTGTGTAGCATAAGATGTGACTAGTTTTAATTTGATATATTATTAAAGACTGCTATCAGTTCATTTTGATCAGAAAAATGAAACTTTTGGGATCTGGTTACAAACCCTGACAGTGCATTTACAGGTTTTTCTAGCCATTTTTGTGCTTGTTAAATTGTTCTTTATGCTTCATCTCTTCAACCAGTGGTCTATTTTTGGTATAAGTTAAGAAGGTAAGAATAAAACACAATGTAGAAATATGTCAGGGTGAAAATTACTGTAGTATTAAAGTGGAAAAATATTTATTGTAGTCCGTTGATTTTCAGGCATGTATTTTCCACACTAACATCTCTGAAATTGTGGTATGTCTTACAGTCAATGGCAGCTTACGTTCATTTTTCTCTTATAAGATGGTGCATCTTTTGATCAATAATGTCTTGGATTTGATGAAATCTGGCAAGTTATATTAATTATTGAGCTTTGAAAATGCATTGCCTCATTCTTTCCTGTCTGCCCTCAGATGTACGTGTTGGATAATTCCATGCCCATCCTGGCATTGCAACCAGGAGCTTCTGCATTCCTTGCCTCCAGAGAGAACCAGTGAAACATCTTTTTGTTCTTGCAGGTTCTTATCAATTGACCACAAGTAGATCTTCCACTCTCAGATCTCTAACTACAAAAGGTGCAATGGGACCTTTCTCTCTTCCCCATCCCTTGCATTACTACAGACCCCCAGGGTCCTATACCCAGTTTGTGTGACTGTCCTTGAAGCTTTCCTGGAACCATACTTATCACCAGACCCTTCCCAAAGTGACTCACTAACACTGGTTTCTCTGATAGTGTCTCTGGGTAGGTAAGGGAGGAGGGACATCCCCTTGCCCTACTGTGGAGAAAGTGGCTAACTCTTTTCTTGTCCTTTCCGGATAGGAACCACTGGCTCAATGACCTGTAAGGGCTATTTCAGCACGTCCATTCTGTTCATCTCCAAGCCTTCACCATAGGGAAGAACTTTTGCTCTTGGTCGCCTCTCAGAGGGCTCTCTTTATAGCTGAAGGTCTCCCTCATGAGTTACGTCAAGAGTAACCGAGAACTATACCAACAATACACAGCCATGGCCCCCAAGCTGCTGGCCCGCATCTCCAGACTCCTCACAATCTGCCAGAATGCAGGCATTTCTATACCGAAGGGCATCAGAAACATCTTTGAGTTTACTTGGGAAGAGCTCATCAGCGATCCTTCAGTTCCTACCCCGTCTGACATCTTGGGCTTGGAGGTCAGCTTTGGAGCCCCCACGGTGGTGCTCATGGAACCCACCTTAGTACAGGTCCCCACAATGAAGAAGCCATTACCTCCACCACCAGCAGCAGCACCACGTCCAGTGCTGCCGGCAACCACTAGGGCAGCCAAGCGCTCCACCCGCTCTGCCACCACGGCCCATCAGGTGCCCACCCACCAGGAGATCCTGAACAGATTTCAGCAGCAGTCCATCCACCTGCTGACGGAACTTCTCAGCCTGAAGATGAAGGCCATGGTGGAGTCTATGTCGGGTAAGGCCCAGATGTTTGTGTGTGTGCCCACCACACCCACCACAGTCAGTCATCTCAGAGCCACGTGCTGGGAACATGTGGCAACTGTGGGTCTGCTGTGAGAATTGGATGCCTTCCCTCTATGGCTCCTGGAACCATCCTGTCCTCCCTGTTCTCCCATTTTTCCTGCTATTGCCCCAGCTTTGCAGAGCCCAGATTGGAAGGTTAGCAGTAGGAACGGTGCAAGGTCAGAGACACTGAGGGGTAGTGTTTGTGAGAATGATGCTGAGGTGGGGAGATAGCACCCAGGTCCAGGTGGCATGTGAAGTTTTCAAATGAGGAGGGCTAATTGGGAAGAAGGCAGACAAAGCACAGTAGAGTCAGAATGAGGAGGAGTTATAAGAACTGGATTCCCAGGCTGAGCACGGTGGCTCACAGCTGCAATCCCAGCACTTTGGGAGCCCAAGGCAGGATGATCATGAGGCCAGGAGCTCAAGATCAGCCTGGCCAATATGGTGAAACCCTGACTCTATTAAAAATACAAAAATTAGCCAGGCATGGTGGTGCATGCCTGTAATCCCAGCTACTCTGGAGCCTGAGGCAGGATAATCACTTGAACCCGGGAGGTCAAGGTTGCAATGAGCCAAGATTGTGCCACTGTACTCCAACCTGGGCAATAAAGGGAAACTCTGTCTCTAAATAAATAAATAAATAAATAAGAACCAGTCCCTTCAAGGCAAGGGCGTCATCCCAGGATCAAGGCCAGGACCTAGAGCAGCACCAGTAGTTGAGCCTTCTGTGTGCTGTGTCATTTCAGAAAGCAATAGCATCAGTACCCAGGCCTATGGGTAGGAAGAGAAACAGGCAAAAGGAGGAAAGCAAAGCAACACCTGAAGGGTCCCGAGAGCTTGAGAGCCTCTCACAGTAGCCCCCCCACACCCCTGCATACCCTAGCAATAGCAGTCTACTCCATCCTTCTTTCCTGGGCCATTTACAGACGTCCTTTTCAGGAAGCATTAACCCTGTGCTAAGAGGGACATGTGTTGCTTTCAATCATTGCTTTAGTGGGTGCCAACCCCTTGGATGTCACTAGGCGCTTTGTGGAGGCCAGCCAGCTCCTCCACCTCAACACCAAGGAGATGGCCTTCAACTGCCTGATGGGCACAGCCGGGAGAAGTGGCTACAGCGGTGGACAGCTGGGGAAAGGTGAGTACCTGAGCTTCAACCCTTAGGTGAGAAGTGGAAACAGTATCAATAAGAATGCAATGGAAAGGCAAAACATCCAATTTGAAGGTTTGACATTTCCAACAGTTGAGATGGATGTGGAACAACAGGGATTTTCAAATGCTGCAAGTGAGTGGGTGAATTGGTGCAATTCCTGTGGAGAGTGGTTTGTGGGTATCTACTGGCTGGACGAGGTCTGCACTTTACAATCCAGCAGTTCCTCATAGAGGTCGTTCCCTAGAGCTGTGCTCTCAAGCTACATGCAGTGAAGGACTCATGTTTAAAATTTCCAATCTGTTGTGGACCAACCCTTTTAAACACACGATAAATGTCACAACAGTGTCAAGTTGCTGCACAGGCCTCTCAGTGCCCACCTTCAGTTTTTGTGCTCACCTGGTCATGGCCTATGTGGGTCAGTGCCAGTCAACAGGCTGGACTCAAGTCACATAGCCCGAGGGAAGCTCACACACATATTCAAGAAGTCATACAAGAATGTTTATTGCAGGCAGACATAGTGGCTCATGCCTGTAATCCCAGCATTTTGGGAGGCCAAGGCAGTAGGATCCTTTGAGTCCAGGTGTTCAAGACCAGCTTGGGCAACATAGTGAGCCTCTATCTTTAAATTAAAAATAAAAAAAGAATGTTTATTGCAGAATTCCTTGGAATGGCAAAAAATTTATCAGAATTTTTATCAATAAGAGAAAAAGATATAAATTGTGGCCCATTTAGAGAATGGGACATAATCAATCATGAAAATCAGTGAGGCACTAAAGCATACATATTCAGAGAGAGAAATCTCCAATAGTAGTATTAAGCAAAAAAAAAAAAAAGGAAGCTATGGGAGGATATTATTTTTCAAAGTTTAAAAGCATGTAAAGTAATAATATACCATTTATAGGTACATTACACAAAGTGCAAGTATAAAAGCATGAAGGGGGAGATTCGAGGAAGTGATCTCTGGGTGGCGAGAAGGGGAACAGGATCTGGAAGACAGCAAGCAGTTCAATTGTGTCTGTAATGTTCTTTTGTTGACATTTTGTCAGCCAGTAACACCTCTCCGTGCCTCTCTCTCTCTCTGTCTCTGTGTGTGTGTGTGTGTGTGTGTGTGTGTGTGTGTGTGGTGAGAACACAAGATTTACTCTGTGTGTGTAGTGAGAACATAAGATTTACTCCCTAAGCAAATTTCGAATGTACAATACAGTGATATTAACTGTAGTCACCATGCTATATATTAGTTCTTCAGAACACATTCCTCTTGTAACTGAAAGTTTGTACTCTTTGACTAAAATCTTCCCACTCCCCTGCTGCCACCTTCTAGTCCCCGCCAACCACCGTTCACTCTCTGCTTCTATGAGTTTGACCTTTTTAGATTCCTCATATAGGTGAGATCATACAGGATTTGTCTTTTTTTTTTTTCTGGCTTTTTTATTCAGCATGTAATGTACTCTAGGTTCACTCATGTTATAGCAAATGGCAGGATTTCTTTTCATAGCTGAATCATATTTCTCTCTCTCTCTCTCTCTCTCTCTGTCTGTGTGTGTGTATGTGTGTGTGTGTGACATTTTCTTTATTTCTTTCTTTTTTTTTTTTTTTTTTTTGAGACGGAGTTTCACTCTTGTTACCCAGGCTGGAGTGCAATGGTATGATCTCGGCTCACCACAACCTCCACCTCCTGGGTTCAGGCAATTCTCCTGCCTCAGCCTCCTGAGTAGCTGGGATTACAGGCACGTGCCACCATGCCCAGCTAATTTTTTTTGTATTTTTAGTAGAGACGGGGTTTCACCATGTTGACCAGGATGGTCTCTATCTCTTGACCTCGTGATCCACCCGTCTTGGCCTCCCAAAGTGCTGGGATTACAGGCTTGAGCCACTGCGCCTGGCCATGTGTGACATTTTCTTTATCCATTTATCCTTTGATGAACACTTAGTTTGTTTCTATATCTTGGCTATTGTGAATAATACTGCAGTGAGCATAGGACTGAGGATATCTCTTTGAAATACTGATTTCTTTTATTTGGATAAATACCTAGAAGTTGAATTGCTTTATCATAAAGTAGTTCCATTTTTTAATTTCTGAGGAACTCCATACTGTTTTTCATAATGGCAGCACCAATCTACATTCCCACCAGCAGCACGCAGGGGTTTCCTTTTCTCCACACTCTTGCCAGCACTTAGCTTTTGCCACTTAGGTAATAGCCATTCTAACAGGTGTTACGTGGCACCTCACTGTGGTCTTGATTTGCATTTTTCTGATGATTACTGACATTGAGCATTTTTGTCATATACTTATTGGCCATTTGTGTCTCTTCTTTTGAGAAATGTCTATTTGGGTCCTTAATCCATTTTTAAATCAAGTTGCTTATTTTTTTGCTCTCTTAATGTTTTATATCTTAAGCTTGGTGAATACACAGGTGTTCATTCTGAATGCCTAAAACTTCTCACTGGTGAGAGATTTTATAGGGAAGCATGAAAAAATTATATCTCCCAACCATTTGCTCTCACCTGTAGAGTCAGTCCCCATTCAACCTCTCTCACTAACCACTGAGTCAGTATCTTTGTCAGGCTCCCCTGATGGTCAGATATTAAACATCTGATGGTATACACACACAGTACAAATAAATTGCATAGAAAAATTGCAGATCTTGGGGAAAAAAATGTAACATTTCATGCAGTCAATGAAAGTGATGCTGGAGAGCCGCAGAATGCCCCTCCACCGCCCCTGATGCCTGATGGGGTGGAGCGGTACTAGCCACCTGTCGCAGAAGGGAAAACCGAAGATGGCATCATGACTCCATGGAGAAAGGATGTTTGGGGTATCAAAGAGTTAAAAATAAAAAGCAGTAAAGCTCTTGAATAATTTTGCGAAAGGCAAACATGAAGGGACTTATGTTTTATTGCCATGATACAATCATTCAGGAAGAAACCACACTGCCTCGAAAAACCCAGCAGTCATTTTCATTTTCTTTATAAGACTTAATGTGTTCTTAAAGTATCAACTAATTTTTAAAAATACAAGATAAAAGGTTATTTTGATAATTTTGGATTTCTTTTCTAAGACAGAGTTGTGATAAAACACCCCTTTCCCCAGTGTTTATCATGAAATGAAGATCTCTGTTTTAGGGGGATTTCCGCTGTGCCTGTTTTGTTTGGGATCAGCTAGGCTTTGAGACCTCTAATTATGCTGTAATTATTTGTGCAGGTGGTGATCGCCAGACAAAGAGCTCAGTACCTTGCATGCTATTTTGGGGCTTAGAGATCTCCCTCATTTTGGGGCACACCTGCTAAGTAGTCTGTTGCACATGTATGAGAGTCCCATGACGGTTATCAGGGTAGCTCCAGCCCAACCCTGGGGCCTCACACCTGCCTGAGCCACTCCTACCTGAATAGTGTCCTCGCCTTTAAAAGGAAACCAGTCCTCACCACTAACACTCCTCGTAAAGCATTTCAGCATTCTTTAAGGATGAGGGAGTCAGAGTGGCTTCTGGCATCTCCTGTGGGCTGTGATTCATCTAATGGAGGAGAATAGGAAGAGAGCTAAGCTGAGCTGGGGGCAGGGAGCTTTTTGGGTGATCTTTGCATCTTGTCCTGCTGTGAGAGCACCCATCTGCATCACACTTTGTCCTGTGCTGTCCTTTGCTGAGAGCGCCCCTCTTCATCACACTCCCTAGCAAGCCTCCCTGTCTTGGCACTTGCCAGTGCAGATGCTTCCCTCTTTAAGCCTAGAGTTTAAAGACAAAAATGTAAGTAGCAAAACAAAAATGAAAGAGTGAGCCATTTCTTTTGGAGAAACATTCATTCATCCTAAAAGGACTTGACTTAGATAGCTCTCCTAGGGCATAAAAAAGAAGGGTCAAACTCTGATGATTTGTTTTGCATGAATTGTGTTTCTCTGGACCATCCTCTTATGTGAGGTAGACCAAAGCTATAACAGGTTTAGAGTATCCCTCTTTTAAAGTTGTGACCAGGCTGGGTGTGGTGGTTCATGACTGTAATCCCAGCATTTTGGGAGGCCAAGACAGGATTACTTGAGGCCAGGAGCTCAAGACCAGCCTGGCCAACATGGTAAAACCCTGTCAGAAAAAACAAAAACAAAACAAAACAAAAACCAGTTGGCCAGCCGTGGTGGCACATGCCTGTAGTCCCAGCTATTCAGGAGGCTGAGGCAAGAGAATTGCTTGAAGATGGGAAGCAGAGATTGCAGAGAGCCAAGAATGTGCCACTGCACTCCAGCCTGGATGGCAGAGTGAGACCGTCTCAAAAAAAAAAAAAAAGCTGTATCCAGAATATCCCCTGTGCTATTAGTCTTCCCTCATGTCCTGGTACCTACTAGCCCTGGCTTGTCACTGAAGAGAACCAGACAGACTGCTCCTTTATTTTTAGTTGATGACAATGTTATTAATAATGCAAAGAAGAGGGGAAGAGGGGCCAGGCACAGTGGCTCACGCCTGTAATCCCAGCATTTTGGGAGGCTGAGGTGAGCATATCATGAGGTCAAGAGATCAAGACCATCCTGGCCAACATGGTGAAACCTCGTCTGTACTAAAAATACAAAAATTAGCTGGGTGTGGTGGTGTGCATCTGTAGTCCCAGCTACTTGGGAGGCTGAGGCAGGAGAGTCACTTGACCCCAAGGAGGTGGAGATTACAGTGAGCGGAGATTCACGCTACTGCACTCCAGCCTGGTGACTGAGTAAGACTCTGTCTCAAAAAAAAAAAAAATGCAAAAAAGAGAAAGCCATCTTTACATAAGAGCTATTTTTCACCTTTGCAGTTTCCTTTGTGGTTCCTGTGCTCATATATGTATATATATATTTTAGAGTATTGCAATTTCTCTGTTTCTCAGTTCCTTTTACTTGAGTATAACTATTTTCCAACATGGCTATATGCTTAAATAATTGTCATTTTGAGTAAGTACAGATTCCATAACCAGTGAAATGACTATATTTGGGGAAAGAATAAACAAATGATTTGGTGAGGTTTGTGTAAGAATGAACAATATTTTCCACTAGCCATAAGGGTGCTACATTTTAATTCTTAAGTGGCCAGATATCTAATGATACTATACAAGATGGTGTGATTCTGCAAGAGACTGATATATTATTGAAGAAGCATCTGATTTCTGTAGCTTAGATAAGGGAGAATAGATTATTCTTAACTTCCTTCTTGCTGGCCCAAGGTTTATCCTCTCGACCTGGTGCAGCACTGATATCCATCCGCCTTTGCCCTTGGAGTAATATCACCTTTTGTGGTTGCTTGCTGTTCCTTGCTCCGAGTTGGAGAAGAAGGGCACTGCAGAGGAAAACTATAAAGATTACCCCTGATTGCTCTGAGCCTACTGATGGTTGTAAAATCTCCTTCTTCCAAGATCTAGGTGTTTTGTAATAACGCAGCTCTTTACAGTATCTGACCCACTGTACCACTAGAACAAGAAATCCATGTTACATTTTTGGCTGATAAAATAAACAATTGAAAGAAGAATCTCTCTCTCTCCCATTCCAGAATTTCTCACAAACATGTCTGCCATTGGGGTGAACTCACCTTACCAGCTGATCTACCAGTCTTCCACAGCCTGTCTGAGCTTTTCTCTCTCTACTGGAAAAGAAGTCAAGAAGAAAATAGGTAAAAATGGTTCCCAGCAAGACCTTGTGTCAAACCACTGGTGGTGGTGGTGGGTTAGGGAATAGAAGGTTTCCATCTAGCCTGTGTAGGTTGGTGGGATGGTTTGATTGGGTCTTCTGATTGGAAGGATACCTGGAGACTCTGCCTGGAGATCTGACAGCTGTCCACACAGATTTGCTCATGGAAATGTTGTCACAGCTCAGCCCCGTCACTGCATAGCATGGGCTCGTCATTTCAGTTTGTGCATGCCCTACATTCCCAGCGATATGGCGTCCCTCCCCGGGTCAACACCCCACCAAACCCATCTCTTCCACCCCCTGCAGTATCCCAAACTCACCCCTCTACTCAGAGAGCTTTGTCCAGTCACACAGCAAGTGGGGGAACTAGTATCTGAACAGAGGTATTTGGAGGCCAAACCTGGTAGACCTCAGTTGCACATTCCAAATTAGGCAAGTTTGTGTGGACAGAAAACAGACAAAGAAGATAACCCTTGTTGTACTGAGGAATACACACACAGGAGAGGCTTCAAGGAGAGAACAGGGGGCAGAAGAAGACAACCAGTGAAACAACACCTGCTCAAGAAGAAGTTCAGAGGAGAGACAGGCTGGGGCTGCAGAAAGCAGGGCAAGGCCTGGCAGAACTCCCAGGCCCACCCTGCTAGGCATGACAGCCAGGCTGTGGGGACAGGGTAGGTAGGAGAGGACTGTGTTCCTGAAGGTGGTGGGAGGGTGGATGTCAGGCAGGAATGCTCAAGCTGTCCAGCTGATTCCCACAGACACTGGAAGACTGGAGGCCAAGGAGCTTGGATTTTCTCCATGTCCCTGCCCCGGCTGGCTGTGTGACCCACCTTCCTAAGCCCTCACCTCTATGCTGATAAAAGGGGGATCGTTATCATGGGTGTGCCTTGTATTGCATTACTTACCATATCAAGCTGATCCTATACTCTTGCAGTGAACAAATGGCTACTGAACACTTGCTAACTGTCAGTCTCTATACCAAATGCTGGGGATACAGATATGGACTCTTAAGACAGAAAATGCCTTTAAGCAAGGAGCTGACCTCTGCTTCTGGGCACAGAGTAGCTTCAGCGGCCGCCTTTCTTTCCTGACTGCTTTACCTGTGTTGATGTGCTTCATCTCATTGTGGTGCAATAACCCACAGCACCATTGCCAGCCCCGCACTGCATGTGCACCTGGCTTAGTACTCCATTATCATGTGCCCCCCTGAGCTGGCCCTAGATCTGGCTCTGTAATCCCACAGTTAGTTTGAGGGAAAAGAAATTACCCTCAAGACCCATGGTGATTTAATGACTTTTTCGTCCTAGTGAACCTGAGGGTGATGTCTTGGGCGAGGTTGTTTTGAAGCAAAAGTTAAATACAGAAGTCCTCCTTATCCAGGGTTTTCCCTTTCTGTGGTTTCAGTTACCCATGGCCAACTGTGGTCCAAAAATATTAAGATATTTTGAGGCAGAGAGGCACATTCACATAAATTTTTTTAATTTAAAATTTTTGTGGATATAGTAGGTGTATATATTTATGGGTTACATGACATATTTTGATACAGGCACACAATAATCATATGAAGCTAAATGGGGTGTCTGTCACCTTAAGCATTTATCCTTTGTGTTTACAAACAATTCAATTGTACTTTTTTAGTTATTTAAAAATATATAATTAAATTATGTTTGACTATAATCACCCTGTGTGCTATCAAATACTAGGTTTTATTCATTCTTACTATTTTTTTGTACCCATTAACCTTCCCTAATCCACACTACCCTTCCCAGCCTCTGGTAACCATCTGCTGTCTATCTCCATAAGTTAATTGTTTTAATTTTTAGCTCTGATAAATTAGAACATATGACGTTTGCCTTTCTGTGTCTGGCTTAGTTCATTTAACATAATGATCTCCAGTTTCATTCATGTTGTTGGAAATGCCAAGATCTCATTCTCTTTTTATGACTAACTCTATTATGTATATGTATCACATTTTCTTCATTTGTCTCTTGTTGATGGACACTTAGGTTGCTTCCAAATCTTGGCTATTGTGAATGGTACAGCAATAAGCATGGGAGTGCAGAAATCTCTTAATTATACTGATTTCTCTTCTTTCTTTCCACCTAGGCGTGGAATTGCTGGATTGTATGGTCGCTCTATCTTTATTTTTTTGAGGAGCCTCCAAACTGTTCACCATAGTGGTTGTGCTAATTGACATTCCCACCGACAGTGTATGAGGGTTTCCTTTCCTCCGCATCCTCACCTGCATTTGTTGTTGCCTGTCTTCTAGACAAAAGCAATTTTAACTTGGTAAGATGATATCACCTTGTAGTTTTAATTTGCATTTCTCTGACTATCGATGTTGGGCACCTTTTCATATACCTATTTGCCATGTATATATCTTCTTTTGAGAAGCTCATTCTTCTTGGCATAAAAAGTAAGAGAAATACCTATTTAGATCTTTTACTCATTTTTCAGTCAGATTATTAGATTTCTTCCTATAGAGTTGTTTGAGCTCCTTATGTACGGTCATTAATCCTTTATCAAATGGGTAGTTTGCAAATATTTTCCCCCATTCTGTTGGTTGTCTCTTGACTTTGTTGATTGTTTTCTTTGCCGTGCAGAAGCTTTTTAACTTGATGTGATCTGGTTTGTTCATTTTTGGCTTTGGTTGCCTGTGCTTGTGGGGTATTACTCAAGAAATCTTTGCCCACTCCAATGTCCTGGAGAGTTTCCCTAATGTTTTCTATTAGTATTTAATAGTTTGTGGCCTGAGTCTTTAATCCATTTTTATTTTATTTTATATATGGCGAGAGATAGGGGTCTTTTGTTTAGAACTTTTTTCATTTTCTTCTTAATTTCTTCATTGACCCACTGGTCATTTAGGAGCATATTGTTTAATTTCCATGTATTTATATAGTGTCCAAAATTCATTTTGTGATTTCTAGTTTTATTCTATTGTGGTCAGTGAAGATGGCTGCTGTTATTTCAGGGGATTTTTTTTTTTTTTTTTAATGTTTTAAGACTTGTTTTGTGACCTAACATATGATCTATCTTTGAGAATGATCCATGTGCTAAGGAAAAGAACGTGTACTTTGCAGCCATTGGATGAAATGTTCTGTAAGTATCTATTAGGTCCATTTAGTCTATAGTGCAGATTAAGTCTGATATTTCTTTGTTGATTTTCTGTCTGGAAGATCTGTCCAATGCTGAAAGTAGGGTGTTGGTATCTCCAGATATTATTTTATTGGGGTATTTCTCTTTCTGTAGCTCTAATAATATTTGCTTTATATATCTGGGTGCTCCAGTGTTGGGTATATATGTACATATATATTTCCAATTGTTATATCTTTTTGGTGACTTCTTTATTATATAGTGACCTTCCTTGTCTCTTCCTGTAGTTTTTGTTTCAAAATCTATTTTGTCTAAGTATAGCTACTCCTGCTCTTTTTTGGTTTCCATTGGCATGTAATATCTTTTTTTCATTCCTTTATTTTTAGTCTATTTGCATCTTTATAAGTGAAGCATGCTTCTGATCATTTGTTCTTGTTTTTTTCATCCATCCAACAATTGTATGTCTTTTGACTGGAGAGTTTAGTCCATTTACATTTAATGTTATTATTGATAAGTAAGGATTTACTCCTGCCATTTTGTTATTTGTTTCTCTGGTATTTTGTTTTGTAGTCTTCTCATTCTTCTTTCCTTCCCTCCTGTCTTCCTTTTACTGAAAATGATTTTCTCTGGTGGTTATGATTACATTTCTTGTTTTTTATTTTTTGTGCATCCATTATGTTTTTTTTATTTGAGGTTACCATGAGGCTTGCAAATACTATCCTATAACTAATTATTTTAACCTGATAACAACTTCACACTGTTTGCATAAACAAAGAAACAAGCAAAAAGAAAACTAATAAAACTCTACACCTTAACTTCATCTCCCCACATTTTTATTGTTTCTATATTTATCTTACAGTACTATAGCTTGAAAAGTTGTTGTAGTTATTATTATTATTATTGTTATTATTTTTGAGATGGAGTCTTGCTCTATTGCCCAGGCTGTAGTGCAGTGACACATCTTGGCTAACTACAAGCTCCTCTTCCTGGGTTCATGCGATTCACCTGCCTCAGCCTCCCAAGTTGCTGGGACTACAGGTGCACGTCACAACACACAGCTAAGTTTTGTATTTTTAGTAGAGATGGGGTTTCATTATGTTGGCCAGGCTGTTCTCCAACTCCTGACCTCAAATGATCTGCTCGCCTCGGCCTCCCACAGTGCTGGGATTACAGGTGTGAGCCACCACACTGGCCTGTAGCTATTATTTTTGATCAGTTCATCTTTTAGTTTTTCTACTTGGGATAATAGCAGTTTACACACCTCAGTAACAATGTTGTAATAGTCTGGTTTTCTCTGTACTTACTATTACCAGTGAGTTTCATACTTTCAGATGATTTCTTATTGCTCATTAACACCTTTCTTTCTGATTGACCTACTCCCTTTAGAATTTCATGTAGGAGAGGTCTGGTGTTGATGTCTAGGAGAGTCTTTATTTCTTCATGTTTGAAGGATATTTTCACCAGATATACTATTCTAGGGTAAAAGGTTTTTTCCTTCAGCACTTTAAATATGTCATGCCACTTTCTCCTGGCCTGTAAGGTTTCTGCTGAAAATTCTGCTGAAAAGTATTGGAGCTCCATTGTATGTTATTTGTTTCTTTTCTCTTGCTACTTTTAATATCCTTTTTTAGAAATATTGACCTTTGGGAGTTTGGTTATTAAATGCCTTGAAGTAGTCTTCTTTGGGTTAAATCTGCTTAGTGTTCTATAACCTTCTTGTACTTGAATTTTGATATCTTTCTCTAAGTTTTGGATGTTCTCTGTTATTATTTCTTTGAATAAACTTTTACCCCATCTCTTTCTCTACCTCATCTTTAAGGCCAATAACTCTTAAATTTGCCCTTTTGAGGTTATTTTCTAGATCTTGTTGCCATGTTTCATTCTTTATTC